TTGAACAACAAAAAACATTTTCTTCCGCCTTCTTTGTTCACATTTGTATATACTAGTAGGACACAGAGAAATGTCATACTCTTGTTATTTTACCTCTGCAGTCCAGGTCAGCCTCCACAACCCTGCCCCTGCCTCTCCCGGTACACAGGAGCGCACGGAGAGCCCGGCGAACTGTTAAATGTGTTCATTTGTAGGCGGTCCTCATTTTATCGACTGGTCCGTGGAGAGCTGATGGATGAGGACTGGAGCCCACAGAGGGACACTCACTTAAGCAAAGGGCATCTGTCACACCCAAAATGACTCCACCTGCACACGCCCCCAGAATGGATTAATAACAGCTGTCCATTTAAGAGATGGCTTTTATGGGTGGAGCTTTTTATCACAACACACTCATCATAATGTAGGAGACAGGATGGGCTTGTTTCTATACACAGGTTGCACTCACACTAGCCCAACCAAACTGTACAAAATTGTAAATATACACGCAATTTAAGCATGTGAGCTCTGGGTGTGCGCTGATGTTACTCATACACTACAAAAAACAAAATCTAGACAAGTTAAAGGGATAGTTTGGGTTTTTTGACATGAATCTGTGTGGCTTCCCCGTGAGCAGTGTCATGCATCCACACTGACTAACCACCGACAGCTTGTGAGCCGAGATACTGGCCGTTTTCAGTGCTGACGAAAGTATTCCGGCAAGTTGGCTGGGGACATTAAAATAGAACGTTTTTCTTCTCAAAACAATATGTGTTCAAAAGAGTGATACATTTGCATCACAAAACCATCGTCCTCCAAAAAGTCAGACCTCATTATCGCTTGGCACTATTTTCTTTCCGTTCGTATCACTACACGCTGCCGCCAGGTGATAGCCGCACACGGATCCGTCACTTTCTTCAGTGTTTTGGCTCAGACCGTTGCGACGTGAGAGAGGTATACAGATTCATGTCAAAAAACCCGAACTATCCCTTTAAGATGACTCGAATTCAGAAAGTTTCATCATGATTTAAGTCAATTTCACTGAACACGTAAAATGATCTGCCAGTGGAACAAGACTTATTGTACTTAAAATATGAAAGTACATTTTGCTACACTTAAAATAAGAAAAACAACAACTTTTTGCACTGAAAATAAGAAACAAAATCAAATGTTGCTTGAATTAATTCCATTGGTACATAATTTGACTTGTCAAGTTGAATCTACTCAAATAAAGTCAAATGTTCTTAATTTAAGTCATTTTAATTTATCTAGATATTTTTTTTTTTTTTTTTTTTTTTTTCCCAGTGTATGAGGAAAACAGTGAAAAAACTCCGCTCTATAACACGGCGAATCCACACTTACCTTCAATGAGGACTGTGACTGAGACAAAAGTTTTGTAGCGTTTTCCACATCAAGTCAATAACATCTGCAGCCTTTTACCATCTAAAAAACATAGCAAAAATCAAAGGTTTACTGTCTAAATCAGACTTGGAGAAACTTATCCATGCGTTTGTCTCCAGTAGGTTAGATACTGTAATGTTCTGCTCACTGGTCTCTCCAAACGAGCTGTGAGACGCTGCAGAACATCCAGAACGCTGCAGCTCGGGTCCTTACTCGAACTAGGAAGTACGAGCACATAAGTCCTGTGCTCAGGTCTCTGCACTGGCTTCCTGTGCCTCAGAGAATAGACTTTAAAGCAGCTCTACTTGTGTACAAGTCTCTCCATGGCCGAGCACCAAAGTACCATCTGTGACATGTTAGTGTCATATGAACCATCTCGCACTCTGAGGAGCTCAGGGACCGGCCTCCTGCTGGTGCCCAGAGTCACGACTAAACAAGGGGAGTCAGCGTTTCAGGTTCATGCAGCTAAAACCTGGAACAGTCTTCCTGAACATGTGAGACAGACTCTTCTGTGACGCTGTTTAAATCCAGACTCAAAACATTTCTTTTTAACTGTGCATATAACTGAAAGGTTTTCATTCTGCACTCTTCTCTCCAATTTATGTCTCTCTTTTTAAAAATTTTAATCTTCATGATTATTTATGTTTTGATTTGTTTTTATTATGATTTTAATGTATTTCTTATTCTGTAAAGCACTTTGAATTACTTTGTGTACGAATTGTGCTATACAAATAAACTTGCCTTGCCTTGCCTTGCCTTGCCTTCTCCTCTTGCTGTCCTCACTATTCCAAGCTGTTATCATATCCAAAAGCTCACAGAGATAGGGAGTCACACTTTTCCATAAAAATACATTTAATGAACTTATAAGTAAATGAAAAAATATTGGAAACATATTTTTTATGGTCAACGTTTCATTTTGCCTTGGAACTTCCTTGTGTGCATTCTCTGCTCTGTCAGACTATAGAATTCAAAATACATATGGCACTTTGACATGATGATGCATTTCTTACAGTTCCCTGTCAGCACAGCTCTGTAATAAAAGCTCGCTGGCTCGCTGACAGTTGTAACACAAAAGCCATTGTGTCAGAGCTACACACACACAAAGACACAGACATGGGCTCAGGAACAGTGTAGGAGATGAGATTGAGTTCAGGAGGTCTCTCATGTGTCTCTCATGTGTCTGATATGAAAGAAAGAGATCACATGACCTAGTGCTGGAACTGTGAACTCGACATGATCACTCAAGCAATGTACAATCTGGTCTTTTTTTTAGGAGCCTGTGATCAATAGGAGCGTTCATGGTCCTGTTTTAGGTGTTTGATTTTCAACAAAAAGCTGAGAGTGACTGAAATAAACTGTTAATGGCCAATGGCTGCCAGCTCGTGACTCTGATGTTTTTGAGAGGGACATGTTTAGTGTGACCAGACGTCCCTATTTACCCAGGACAGTTAAAATTTTGAGCCCT